TTTCAGAACGTGCTCGACGCTAATCCTGTCAATCGGTGGTTTGAAACAAATTGTTCACCGGATTATCACTTCGAATTAGCTATTTATTACTATAAAGATAAATTAAGTATTTAAATAAAAACTTAAAAATAGCTTAGAAGAAATGATCTATGCAATGCCGCCTAATGCGATAGAAAAAAAAATGCCCTTTTAATACAAAACGTGGTTTTAGAGAAGTTAGTCAAATGATCTACTGCCTCCGATCTAAAATATAATAATATTACTAAATTAGACACATCCTAGTGCTATTAATCACACACTAAAATGTGTCTAATCCGGTACTCTTTCCGTTTCTCTTAGTTCTAGATTATAAGTCATTTTGACTTTGGCCAAAGTCAAACTATTTCAAGTTTAAATAAGTTTGTAAACAAATATAGTATAATATTTATGATCCCATATTAGTTTCATTGAATCGATAATTGAATACCTTTTTATATTATATTTGTCTTCAGTTAAAAATGTTACTATTTTCTTTTATAAACTTAATCAAATTTAAAATAGTTTAACTTTGATCAAAATCAAAACGATTTGTAATCTAAAATAGAGGGAGTACTTTATAATACTATATTTTGACCAAGGGCGGATCTACAGTGTTATCACCGGCGTCAGGTGACACCGACGATTTTCGATAAAAGTTATGCTTAAAATACTTATCCATATATTATAACACTATATTCTATAATATAATTAACATGGTACGACACCGATAGATACGTTATTACACCAACAAATCAAATTTCTCTGGATCCGCCACTGATTTTGATATGGACAGATATAACGAAAGAGCATGAAGATTTCTCGTTTCGATTGCGACGCGGCGACCCCCATGCATGAACCAGCGACATGGAAAACATCACCGCATTTCTTCGCACCGAGCACAAGGCGGCGGCGCTGGATTCGCCGGCCGGCCGGCCGGTCGCCACCTACCGCTGATGAGCCCCTGGGTTAGCCGCAGAAACCGCGAGCGCCAGCACATGCGTGCGTGCGGCCCCGGCGCGGCCAAAAGCCTCTGTCGGTAAAAATCGTCGATATGCAGTGCAGGTGGCAGAGAACGATGGTATGCAGAAAAAGCCGATGCAATTGCTGCAGAATTTTCGTAGAAATTTCACACGAAACAGCTTGCTTTAGTTTTCATAGGAGATGGATTTTTCTTTTTTTTTTCTCTCCCACGTTCTAAATAGTAGTGCCTAGGTGCAGCGGGCCCAGCTTTTTGAACTTGCGTATTTGAAATGGGAGGAGGAAAAAAAATGTTCATACACCTAAAAGCCTAAAAATTAGCTTGTGGCATAAGATACTAATAAGTATAATATATAGCGTATATAATATAAAATTGGTAAATATATCAAAGTGTCAACATATGGAATAAAAAATGATAGGAAATGATAAATTGGGAAAAAAATATAGATTAATTTTTCGACGCTTGATATTTTGAAAATAAGCGATGATGTCCTTGTCCTTAGCTTGAAAAAGAATTCCCTTTCAATGAATATAACTAGACAATCATTCAAATATTTTTGCCCCATCTTGCTTTCTCAACTTTTTTTTATGTAGTTCATTGAAGAAAAGACCCTCTCAACACCAGGGAGAATTAGAATTAACCAATTTGAGAAGTCTATAAACAAGTTCATACCGACGAACCCTCTTTGTATGGTAGTATGGTAAGAACTATGAACTACTGCCCAGTGTCCACTAGACCACTACTCAATTACTCAAATACTCAACTATGCAACTACAATTCTACAAACTAAGCAAGCAAGCAAGTATACTAAATCACTGAATGTAGTTCCCAATCCATTTCACCAAACAACACTTTCACCAAACAACAATCAATAGGAAGCTGGGGAACAGGAGAAGGAGGACGAACCGGACTACCGGTGAAGGAGGTTAGGAGCCCAGGAGGGGCTTGGCTGCAGGCTGCTCGCCTGCTCCTCAGCGCTCGGTTCAGCTCAGTGGGCAGTGGCGCTAGCGCCATGGCGGATTGGCGGGCCGACGTGGCCGTGCACACCGCAGTCAATGTAGTCGCCGCCGCACGCCCGAGCCGTCGCCGCGCCGCACGTCCTCTCCTCACTCGGTTAGGGTTTGCCCGATTTGGGAATTAAGGATTTTGTTTGCTGTGCCTAGGCGGGGAGGGGAAATGGACTAGTTGCGGTCTAAACTGAGTGCAGGCTAAGAAGAAAGTGGAGGGGAGTGGGAAATTTCGGCCCAATAGAGTATAAATGATGAAACAGGGCTCAAGATGACTAATTTAAGCGTTCTTTTTTAATTTTTTGAATACATATACGAAGTAAAGAGCACGTATACTTATTTTTGTCCAAAAATCTTGGGTATACATCTGAATACCCTTGAATCACTAGTGGGCCCGCCCCTGGCTAGGTAGGTAGCCATGGGTCTTGTGACCATAAGGTCATTAATACAACAAATGTATAAATCACAATACTAATCTATTACTACTAGGTAGTACTAGTAGCGATCGCCCACAGATATATATACACGGAAGAAAATTTGATAAGACTGAAGGGTATTAATACACGGATATATATATATATATATAGACACACACAACAAATGTATTAATCAAAATGCTAATTTATCTCTATGCCAGCCGGCGGCATTGCACTTTTGGATGATATTGGGCCTTAATTTTCATCGTAGGTCACCGAGTTAGCCCATGCACTGTTTATTGTGTCATTAAGGGCCTGTTCACTTTAATGCCATTTTCAACCTTACCAAGTTTTGGTAAAGTTGTCAAAAAAAAGGGAGTACCTATACATCTTTCGAAAGATTTTTATGATCGTATCACACAGATTTTTAATCTTTGGATTAAAATCCGATAGATATAATAAAAAGCAAAAAGCAATTAAGAAACACCATAATGGACACTAAATTACCATATCCTCAAGAAAAAGACCAAATCCAATACAAAATTTAAAATTTACATGCGAAGATTCAAAAATTACAGTGTAACTTACAAAAGTTACAGTGTAAGTTTCATAAATTACACTGTAACTTACAAGAAAATGCACTGTAAATTTGAGTGAGAAAATCGAGTGAGAGATAAGAAAAAAATCTTTCGAGTGAGATATAGCAAAATCGAAAAAAAATGGCTGCATTTAGTTTACTGCCAAATTTTGGTAACTATATAAGAAATCCTGCCAAAATTTTTGGCAAGTTGCCAAAATTTCGGCAACTATGCCAAAATTTTGGCAATGCCAAAAATTGGTAAGGTTTTTTTTGGCATCAAAGTGAACAGGCCCTAAAACAAACATGTGGGCCTCACAAACATTTTTACTATTTTTTTAACTAACACCAATTGACATGCAGGGTGCTATTGATTTTTTGTCGTTTACTTTTTCCTTGTAGTGCCATGTAAACATCATATGGGACTAATATCAACTAAACGAGCCACATAGGTTAGGACTATACTTGTATCTTTATATCTCTATTTGGTCTATTATGCCACTTTGTTCCATGCATTTTATACTTCCAAGACCTCGCCGATCAAAAGTACATGGACTCATCCATGGCCTATATGATTTCGGCTAACCATCTAATTAGATATATAGGGCTAGATGTCCCTGGTCTTTGTAGGGCCCTGCCCCAAATGGAGACATTTCCATCGTTAGCAACCACACAAGTATTGAGAGGATTATATATGAGTAAAAAAAATATATAGGTGATAAAATGATCGTGCATGCACACTTCACTACCTCAAAAAAACTTAGTAAAACCTATGGATGGGTGATCGGTGAGGAAGATGTTCCTCATTAAATTATAGAAGAGAATTGCTATCTGATTTATTGTGGGAAAATAGGAAAAACAGTAAATTTATGTGCATACTTATATTCGCAAAATGATTGAAATACAATATGCTTTGAAAACAAAACGGGCGGAGCACATGACAATTGGCATATCGTGCCAAACCGAACCCTCCAGAAAGATGAAGTCCCAAAGCATAGAAAGCACTATAAAAGTCGACCCACAATGTGCACTAGGAGCACCGATGGATTGAGCAGCTTCTCTAGCCTTGATCTCCTAGCGCTCAGTTGTTATACTTACCCTCTAAGGGCTACTAGGCCTCAATCATCTCTTCCTCTTCGTGTATATTTAGCCTTTTATGCTACCCGTGGATCTCTTTCGTTATTGATGAGTATACTGTTCGTGGTTGATACCAGTGTTATAATTATCTATGGGCAAAGTTGATACATGCCATATATCGAAATGACAAGGTAATTTTATCTTCTCCTTATGAGTTTTTCAACTCAAAAGTTTTTTTTTGCAACCAATAATTAGTCTCTAATATTAATTTACTAATTCAAGTGATGTTTTTTTTATAACATGAGGGTGAAGATTAGGTCGGGGACGCAGGAATTTTACAGGAATATCACATGTAATAGTTCAACTATAGTAGGAACTAGAAACATGAAAATTTGTGGGTTACAAACAAGGTTCCATCTACATCATCTTGCATGTATCGAGCCAAAGGCAGGATCTACCTATACCCATGTAAGTCCCTCTAGTTTATGTGATTTTCTCCACCCAGAAAGACTTGATTTCTAGCATTTAAAATTTATTCAAAAAAAGACTTGGTTTCTTTTGTTTTTGCGGGTAAAGTACTTGATTTATAGCCCCTAGCTTACCTACCATCGGTCTATAAATTATGAAGTTTTATTTATTCCATACCCCTTATACTAATACTACTTTTCTATACTTTGGCAATCATGGATAGATAGCTTTATGTAAATTTTCTGTTTTCTGTTTTCTCCCTCTCTCCCTTCCTTTGTAAATATCTCTCTCTTATAATATATATATATATATATATATATATATATATTGCAGTAGGAGTCTCTCCTGCTATTTTCATGTCAAAAAAAAAATACTACTTTTCTATTAGTGAGGGGCACTTTTTGTTTTTATCCTTAACTACTAAAATACTTGGGATGACTAGGAATCAAGTTTTTTGGGGAATAAAGGGAGTGCTATATATGCCTTGAACTATTTCGTTTATCTTTTATTGTGTTTCACTATTTATTTGTATGTGGTATGGTACTCTTTGTTAAGCTAGCAAGTTCCATGAGTTTATTTATCAATGTACAATTTGGAGTGGTATATTTGATTAGCCCGTTTTCCTTAGGCGTCGCTTGTAGCTAACTGCTAACATACAAAAGTAATTAAGTATGTATAAAATTGAAAAGATGGCGAGTCATGAGAGAGAGCAATGTGGCAAACAAACTCTATATTAGCATTCAAAAGTAAAGTACTAACATACAAAGCTTGTTAGCTAGTGGTTGCTGAATAACATACAAAAGTAATAAAGTATTAAGTACATGGAGTATAAGTTATGTAGCTAGGACCACAAACAACACATGATCTATGCATGGTATGCATGCAAACCATGCACTTACTGCAAGCAAGTAGGCCAGCCAAAGTCCATCATGCATATATGTATGGACATCATGGTTTATTATTAAATAGGTCATTAGACAATTGCTTGCGTTACACAATGTACAAAAGAAATGTAGGATATTAAGCTAAAATACAAAATTCTCCAGCAGGAAAGGCGCCGAAAGTACACTTAGTTTGCTAGCAATGGATCGAGTACTTATCTACTGATCTAGTCATCAATCCATGCATCCATCCATCATTAAACCACGTAGCATGTATTGGCTGGAATCAAGCTATCACATATATGCGTGAATCTAAAGCAAAACAAACTCCTCGATATATCTTGCACACATCTAGAGCTAACCGTCCGTTGATCAGCTAGCTAACTTAGAGATAGATTAGCATGTATGACACATCAATTTGAAATCATGATGCATATGCATGGTATAGGAGAGGACAAACAAATATATGTTCAATTAACAAGCAAGTCAATTCGTGACATGACTAATATGTTACGCAAATAAACTGCACTACTTTATCTTGGTTGTCTTTAGCATAAGAAGTGTGGAATGCATGGTTTAGCCTTGTGAGCCCCACATATATTAAAGCTAGCTGTTTCACTGGAAAAGATACACGCAAGGCTAAAAGATTTCACCAAACCCACAAGAAACTAATAAACCTTTTTTTCTTTCTTCAACTCTTTTTCGTCTCCCTTCTCAACAATACAGATATCATAGAAACCAGAATCTTTTAGGCCTATATAAACCACCCCACCTTGCATACTATGTTCATCCTCGTGTCATATTGTGTTCATCTTCATACTACCAACCAATTAGTGCTAATAGGTAGCATTTTCTGTAGTTGCAGCTCAAGTAAGGTAATGCACCTACTAGCTTATTATTCTTGTGCCTAGTATTAATTAGTTTTTGTACTGGTACTTGTGAAAATTTGTGATTTGAGCAATGCTATTTGATTTGTAATTAAGCTAGCTATCTCTTTTTGTTAGACTGCAATGTAACATCGTTTTGCTAATTTTTGAACTAGAAAAGTAAGAAAAAGAAGTAACAAAAGTGTGTGCTTGCTATGTAGGTCTATTATTCAGAGCAACGAAGGGAAGGAATGGAGCAAACTTTGGACGTACCTAGATCGTTGAGACTACTGGCGCCAAAAGCTCAACAACAAATGGATGAATTTTGGAGGGATCGACAAAAGGAGATTGAAACAACAAAGGACTTTAGCGAGCATGCGATCCCTATGGCCCGCTTGAAGAAGATCGTATCTTCTCAAAAGGGTAACATGATGATGACCTTTGACATGCCAGCATTCTTATCGAAGATGTGTGAGCTCTTCGTACAAGAACTTGCTGTGCGTGCATGGGCATCTGCTCAATCCCATAATCGTTGCATCATACTAGACACGGATATTGCTAAAGCCATTGCCTCCACAGAGTCTTATGACTTTCTTGTTGATATCCTCCATAATCATCGTGTGAAACACAAATCCACTCCTTGTTCTACACTTACTACAAAGCGTTGTAGGTTAGTCGATCAACCTTCCACATCTCACATGCCCTACCAACATCAGCTGCCACAATTTGCTCCTACATATACTCCGGCCATCCCTATTACTCCTAGTTTAATGCCACCAATTTCTCACTATATACCGTTCCAATATCCATCCTTATCACAAGAAGTGTCCCCGATGATGGCTTCTGCACCCATAGTGAATAGATCAATGTTGCTCATTCACAACATAGCAAGGGGTCTAGGCTTACAAGGAAACAATATCAGCACGTTCGCCAACAATAATATCCCAGACAATATTGTTGGTTGTAGTAGCCCCACAGTTCTTGCAAGTATGATGAGTCCTGCTTTACTAGAAGTTGCAGGGACATCACTAAATCCACCAAACTCTCATTCCATCTGCACAATGAACATGATCAACTCGAGTGATCCTAGTGGATCTAGTATTGGTGACATTAATGTTGCAAATCAAGCAAGTCTTGCTCCCTCTGGACGTTTTAACCCTGCTATCCTTCGAGAGTCATCATGTCCTTCGTTCTTACATAGTAACAATGACACAATTGTTGCTATACCGGAGGGTGTAGATATTAGTGGCACCATGGATGTTGCTAGTGATGTTGCTGCTATAGTTATCAATGGTCAAGAAGAACATGAGAGGGAAACAAATGTTGAGCATCATCAGCAAAATGAGATATATGAAAGCATTGATATAGGAATAATCAATGCAAGTGTTGCGGATGATAATAAATATAGTATTAGCTGGGATGAATTGGGAATGGCTGATGATTCATTGCTAGACAAATTTTTGGAGGAGTTTCAAGTAAGAAATGACGGTGTTTTGCGCACTGGGATTGAGTTGCATGAAGACCCATTCCTTGGTGACGTGATGTTAGCAAACCCAAGTACAAGCAATGCCAATAAGTAATTTAGTTGGCAAGTTTTGTTTATATCTCTTTTGTAAGAATGAGGTTGTAACTTTTTCTTGTTGAATATAATGTTGCAGCGGCGGACCTATGTGGGGTGCCGGGTGTGCACCGGCATAAAAATATAGTATGTAGTATTAGCAGCGGGCCAAATCAATAGATTGGTGCCTCGTTGGATCAAAAGCAAGGCCTACAAGGCCCAACGTGCTAGCAGGGAGGCAGCCCAATCTGCTAGCCAATGTGCCATGTGCTGCTAGAGTCTGGGAGAAAATTGGATTATATTATCGTAAAAGAGTGGTTTCGTTAAAATGCTATCGCTTCAAACTGATTCACTGGTATGTTATGCCATCCTAAACTGAGAGGTTTCACCAAAATGCTATTTTCATTCTTTTGTGTGAATATAAATATTTTTTCTCAATTTTATATTTTTCCTAGACCAAAATGCCCCTGACGCGGGCCCCACCTGTCATACACTCTCCCCTCTCTTTCCCCTCTTCCTCCCCCACCATCCCGATCTCTAGCGAGGTCGCTCCACCAGCGGCCGCACCAGAAGCCGCCGGCGACCGACTCGCCCAAAACCCTCGCGCCGGCGGCCGGGCCACGGCGCGGCGTGCCGCCCCTACCCCCATCCTATCGCGGCCTCGCCGCCGCCACCGGTGTGGCCGCGCCATGTTCCCCGGCCCCTCCTCCTCATCCGCCGCCGCCGGCCCCGGGTTCACCGAGAAGAACGGGCTCCATGTCGATCCCATGGCCGCCGCTGCCTGGAGCGGTGGGCGCACCAACGGCAAGGAGGATGCGGAGATGGTGCTTGCCGACCAGGAGGAGCTCGCCACTCCGAGCGCATCGGCCGGTGTTGGCGGACGCGAAGGGAGGCGGCGACGCGAGTGGATTGGGGGAGGAGGGAGGGGAGGAGCAAGTGGGGGAGCGGCGGGGGCCAGCGCCGGCGCCGGAGCCGGAGTCGATGCGGAGGGGCGCTAGAGCCGATGCCGAAGACAGAGAGAGCACCAACGGTCGTTAAATCCCCTCCTCGCCGGCGAGACTCTCCCTTCAACTCATCGATCTCTCGCTCTCCACTTCATCTCGCACTCTCTCAGCCAACGATTCCTCGCAAATCCTTGAAGAGATCGTGAGAAAGCTTCTTCTTGCTTGTGCTTGCGGCAATGGCGGGGGTGCACACGCACAGGGCATTCCTGCTCTGCAACTACCTGCTTCTTGGCGTTTCTGGATCGATTCGATCTGGTCAAAGAGATAAGAGAGAAGGGTATTTTGGTCAGGACAAAAAAATAAAATAGAGTAAAATCATTTCTATTAAAAAAAGACCAAAATAGCATTTTAGTGAACACTTTTAGGATTGCATTATCCAGCGAAACCATTTTACGACAGTAGAATCGCAATTTTCTCGTCTCTAGGGTTCCTCTTTTCCCAATCCCTTTCTCAGTTTCTCGTGCACTGCGGCGGCCGGCGGTGGTGCCGTGGTGGCGACTGGCAATGGGCGCCGGGCGGCGGCCGGCGGGTCGGCGATTCGGCATGGGTTCTGTGGCGCTGGCAGGCCAGCCCGGCAGCAACAAGGCAGCTGCTCAGCTTGGTAGCTCCTAGTCCTCAGCTCAGTCGCTCAGCAGTCCATCCAGCTGCAGGTATGTCATTTCACTAATTCACTTTGAGATTTTTGTATTCGATTCATCGATTCAATTTGCAAAGTTGGAAACTGAAATTGAGGGTACATTTTTTGTGATTTGTATTTTGTAGGCAGTAGGCACTTAGGCAGAGGTCAAGTTGAATTAATTTGTCAGATATAAAAAGGAACAACAGAAATATGGGCATACTTTCTTTATTGAGCAAGGTCCCTAATTCAGATTCTGCATCTCCTAGGACAGGGCTTCACATTTCTCATGGGGTAACTATAGGAAGGAAGAGTAACTGAAGAAACTCGAGAAAATGAGACTTTGCAATTGGTGTTGTTTTCTTCTTCTTCAATCCCAACAGAGGAATCACCACACGCTCAGGCTTCACCAACACCACCACCAGTACAGCCCCAAAATGAAGAGCAAGAAGATATAACTGTAGGTAGTGGTAGAGCATCAAATTCAACTTCAAGAGCATCTAATTCAATTCGGAGTGAGGAGCCCCAAAATGAACTAATTGTACTACATTTGGATAATTTAAGATGTAACTGTACTTTTGTGCTTGAGGTTTTTGTTTTGGCTTGCTGTAGGCACACCCAGGATAAAAATCCTGGGTTCGCCACTGCTTTAATCAGTCAAAAATGGGGCAGGAATGTGTATCAGATTAATCATCAAGTGGGCATTGAGATGACCACCTGAGAGAATTCATTCACATACGGTTGAATAACATACAGCAGATTTATTTATAAGCTGAAAAGGTAGTACATTGCTAATTAGCTAATTAAGAGGACAATTTAATACATCAATGATGGACCCTGCACATTACCAGCATTACATTGCAGTAGTTTTCAGTGAGCTTAAAAATGAATCATCACATCACGTATGAAACAGAGTTGATCCTCCAATCCAATATGCAAAAGCCATTGCGCATATGGACTCATGTATCAGCAGAGTCTCCTATGCGCCCTTCCCCAGCCAAAAACCAATACTGTCCAGAGGACCATACATACAGCCCCTTGGTTTCCCATTCCTGCACTGCAGAGTCCTGAATCTTTCCTTCCCAGTGAATTTCTATGTAGAATAATGTACATACACTGATGCTTCAATTACAACTAAATTTTCTGTAACTTCTGACGGTCCGTGCGTCACTGTTGCTGTGACTTTCACCTCTTGCCAGAAGGTCGGTAAGCCGAAAACCGTGTCGAAACTAAGATATAGGATGATTTGGGAGGATCTGAGTTTGCGGTTCTCAACCGCATATAGCCTCAACAACAGCCCGTTTCATTGTCCCTGGGCATGGATCTCCACCAAATATTTCTGGAACAACGCTTACCCCGCAGCGTTCTTGACCGACGCAGTTCTGCAACAGGCATCAATACATGACATAAGTTCATGGTATAGACAGACAGACTAACTTTAGCAGTGCTGCTTTAGTCGACACAGTGAACGCAAATCCTTTACCTTCCAAAATATGTCGTACGACTTGTGCGCATGGCAGCCTCCTTCGGTGTAGCTTCCACAGGAGCCCTGTGGTGTGCCAAAGCTAGCAAATTTTATTTCAGTTATCTTCTGTCCATTGTCACATTGGAGGTGGACTTTTGCTTTCTCGTAGTCTTTTGTATGCCAGTTCTTCATTGATGGCTGCCATTCGGACACATCAGCGCAGACACTTCCGATGCTTCTTTTGACCATTGAGATTCCAGTAGGGTCACCACCCCACTCCTCGAATATGACCAAAAGGTTTCCTGTGGGACTAAGCCATGAACGAGGAACATGGTACCTGACAGACCATGACATTAGATTTATAAGAGCTTCTCGTGTAAACAGTACTACAATGTTATCATAGAATGATACTTTTATGGAATGCCTACCATCTCTGAGAAGAGTCACCACAGTTGGTTTGACACTTCGTTTCATCGTATTCACCTCGATAATCACAGGTTCCACAGTTTCCAGAAGCCTTGTAGCCAGGCCAATATCGCCCAATACCTTGTCCATTTATCCAGATTTGCCCCTTCCCCATACTACTCATGTCCAAAGCTAATGGCTCATCACCATCCGGTGCATTGAAAAAAGCCTAAACAGGCGACATAACAGGATTAGTGTAATGATAGACATTATTTTATTATAGGAGCAAGAATTAATAATTTCTTCATTACCTTGTACCATGTTAGAGGCTGCTTCTGCACAGGTTCTCCCCACTCCACTGTTGAGCTTCCACTGAGTGAATGAAGACTCATAGACTCACCTTTCAGTCCTACCTGTACAAACACAACAATTTCTCATGTACACTCCAGATTATTAGATAAACAGTTATTACCTCATCAAATGGCAAACGATATATACCTGATAAGTCCATTTCTGCCATGTCAGATCCCTTCTTCCCTCATTCAGGCCATCAAGCGTCACTGGGCCAAGAATCCCAGCATTCCAAGTCTCAAAATGTTCTCCCACATTCTATGATAGAGGAAAATGGTAACTGAGTCTGAAATGGATCAAACAGCATATAACCAAGAGTACTATTTGAGCCTGAGGCTGAACATCTACTTACTGGGAGGCCAACTGCTATACTTAAGCAGGAAATTGTATTGCTGCCTGCCCAGAGCTTCACATTCCCAGTATAAGTCAGTTTTGGGTCATCTACGCTGCCATAAACAGTTCCTGCCAGCAAATTGAAAAGTGTATTGAGGATCAAGAAACACCTGCATATGGCGGGCATACAGAGTATAGGTTTATCTGTTTTACCTTTCAGTTGTCCATTAATGAAAATATGCAAAGCATGACCAGCTGACATCACAGTAAGCTTGAGATTCTCCCCATTGCTAAGGAACTGCTCATCCTGGGCAACATCGACACTGAAAGTGAAAAATGTTTAGTACATGGTATTGCACATCACCATGTATTTGTATTTTTGGGGGTTCAGCTTCTTAGTACTTACTATGTGGTATACCATAAGTAGTCTGTGTTATCCCTCGTCACATTTATTTGTTCCAGTAATCCTACTGTTGTAAGTGGATCCTCACCAAAGGAATTTATCTCCTCGTTGTATGATTGCCATGCAAATCCTCCAGCCCATTCCATTTTCATCTGTGAAATCTGACTTCCCACCTACATGATAAATTTATTTAAGATTAATCACAATTTAACATTTTCAATTGATAGATATTAACAAGATCACATGATAAAAGGATCCAAATTCAGATTGGATGTGGAATAAATTTATAAAAAAAAATATTGATTTTCATTAACAGTTGTACCAAGGATATGCTACATGTATTAAAATGCAGCAACAAAAACCCACTTTTGAACAAGCAACTCAAGTATATTAAGAAGAAAATTATAGCATGGACAAGACAACCAAAAAAAAAAAAACTAAAGTATCTATCTCACCCTAGCAGTATTGAAGACTGTCGTTTTGCAGTCTGGGAGAATACTTATGGACCACGGAGGCAGGTCATAGTGCATGCCATTAAATGCTACCCTTGCATAAGATACTTTATCCTTGTTCTCAAGGAAAGCTGCACAAGCTCCTGTGCTTGATCTAAAAACTGATGACTGAACAGCAAATTAAGGAGGAGTCAGTTCAGAACAAAATATTGTAGGTCTAAGGGACAATAGAGAACGGAATGTGTAACGAACCTTCTGAGCATTTCCAAGTGAAGTTACAATGGGGTCTCCTGCAACCAAGGCAGGTTCACAAAGTTTTATGGCTTTATGCAACTGCTTCAAGTGGCCCCATTTTGGTTCTCTCAACAAACCTGAGGTAGCGAAGGGAAGAAAGTTCATATCAATTTGGTAAACATGATGTAGCACATAGGGACCATCCTATTCAGCAGGTATCCAGTTTTTCCTTCTTATTTTTAACTCACTTTTTTCAATAACTAGATAAACATCCAACAGCTCACATGTTTATTTTGTCGGGGGGTAAAATGAAAAATATTTTAACTCAAATAAATTATTACCGTTTGGTGAATCCCCATAAATTCAAAAACTTCACAAAATCAAATCTAGACAAATTTAAAAGATGCCTTACAAATACAAAAACAAACTACACTAAAAGTTTCAATAAAGCTCTACTAGAATAGTTTTGAGTGAAATTTCAGTAACAAAAATATAGTAAAACTTTTACATATTTGCATAGTATCAGAGATGGTAGAAAAAAAAGGGGACCTTTTACAACCCATATCTTTTCGTTTTGCGTAGAGCATCACCGTTGTGTTGCAAATTATTTACCAGATGTAACATGTCTGTAATGTTTGGATAGCAGAAATGCCTACATGCAGGAAACAGGTGCAAAGTATATACCTCTTACTAATGGATACTGTATTTCTTAAGGTTTAATAAGCAATCATATGCAAGATATGTAAAGTGCTTAACTCACCATATTCATCAATAGGAGCATCATAGTCATAACTAGTGGCAATGAATGGGCCACCAGCTGTGCGTCCAAAGTTTGTTCCACCATGATACTGAAAAGCAACAGTGTCACAGCTTGAGACTACTCAATAACATGGTACATTTCAGCTTTAAAGCGTATTGATGGGACTTACCATGTAATAATTCACAAAAGAGCCACCCTTCTGGATAAACTTGGCGACACCATATGCTAGATCCTCTACTGGTCTATGTGGAACTGGAATACCAAAGCCTGTATACCTGCAGAGGGAACAGAAGATATACGTAAGGCGAAAGCTAAGCACATAGCCATCATAAGAACCTCAGGAAAATAAAGAAAAGGGACACTACCAAGCAGTCCAGGCTTCAGTCCACATGGTAGGTTTGTGAGGTTTATTTGGGGAGAACCAATCACAGTAAAATCCATTGCATGTATTAATCTGTCATAGATAAATCGAAGTAAGACGTAGCTCAGCTGAAACCTTCTACCCCAATTGGCATGTACTGTATGAGATGTGTCATGTAAGAGCGGAGGAGATTTTATTTTAAAACAAAGGAAATTCAATGTATGATCGATCATATCCTTTCATTTCTTGGACAACGGTCACAAAGAACATTAAAGAAATGAGGAACTGCTTCCCCCAGTACATGTACTCTGTATTAAAGAGAAGTGGTACAGTACATACAATTGGATCAGGGGCATCATCTTCTTTGCACATGATCCATGGCACACTGGTGTTGAGCGCAACTGCCATGTTAGCTGCCCATGATGCATATGCCTTGGCAGGCTCACCTTGATCCCACTCCAAGGGCCCAAACTCGTTCTCTATCTGCAGGGGACACTCAGAAAAGTAGGTTGCATTGAAGAGAATGCCATCAACAAATACCAAGAATGCACCTTCGATTACAAGCGTACCTGGGAGAGGATTATAGGCCCTCCTTGCCATTCAAAGAGCCCTTCCGACTTCATCATTTCGACGATCTTTGTGGTGAACTTCTGCATCTCAGCCTGTTTGGAGAATCACGCAAAAGTCAATTCTTTTTTTTTTACAGAGATCATAGGAAATTTTTACAGAGGGGTCAAGGAGATTAGTAAAGGTTAAAGTTAGTGCTGTCAAAGGATTCTTGCCTTGAACGGCTCATTATCAGTCCTAAAGCTGATGCCGGGGACATACTTGAGCCAAACAGGGAACCCACTGCGACCAAAAGGGGTTAAAGGAGCATAAAATTAGCATATTTCAAATCAACTCAACATCAAGAATTCTATTCTAATTATTCCTCGTCAGCCAAACTGCAGCCACAAACAGTCACCATCAGCAACAATATCAACTTAACTACCTTATAAATAGAGCAATTTGACACACCCACCAAAAAGAAAAAGAAAAAGACTTCTGCCACTTCCCATAACCCCCAGATTCAGACATCTCACAGCAAACACCAATTGGCTACTTACTGCAAGTGCAGGAAAACTAAGAACACAAGATGTTCTTGGTGCTGTTACCCGAAGTTCCACTCGGCGCAGACGTAGGGGCCAATGCGGAGGTTCACGTAGAGGCCGGCCTGCTTCACCAGCTTGATGAAGTGCACCAGATCATACCTCCCCTCGAAGTAGTACTGCGAGAAATCAACCAAACCAAACCAACCACATCAAGAACACGAAAAACAACTTGTTTTCACGGTTATTGTTGCCGGTAACTACCTGGCCGGGGGACGGCTCGTGGCCGTTCCAGAAGACGTACGTCTGCACCACGTCGAGGCCGCCGTCCTTGGCCTTCTCTATCAGATCCGGCCACATCTGCAACCCAAGCAGTAAGCACCACCCCCCACAAACAAGTTAGCAAGCATAGCAAAGCCACGCAACCAGCCGCCTCGCCGGCATTCCTCCGGCGAGAGAGAGGAGGAGGCGTCGCCGTCGGAGAAGCACGGTGAGGAGGAGGAAGGGGAAGCGTGTGCGCCTTGCCTCGGGGGTGCTCCTCGGGTAGTGGATGGAGCCGGAGATGAGGATCCTCCGCTGCCCGTTCACCACCACAGCCTTCCGGTCGTACGTCACGGCCGCGGACGCCGCCGCGGCCAGCACGGCGGCCACCGCCACGACGAACGCGACGGCGACGGCGGAGGCGGCCATGGATGGGATGCGATGCGAGGAGTGGAGTGGAGTGTGGGGAAGAACAAGGGAGGGAAAAAAAGAAGAAAAAAAGGCCGCGCTTTTCGGTGCTTTTCCCTCCACCGGAGAGAGTGAGAGGCTTCCTCTCTCACTGACGGCACATGAGGACACTCTCTCTCTCTCTCCTTGGCTCTCTTTCTCTCTCCTCGCCCAGGTTTTCTTGTCTACTCCTGCTCTCTATCTCCATTAAAAAATATAGCAACCTTAAGCGGATAAGACGTATTATAATATTATAAATTTGGGCAGTATTTAAATTCATAGTAATACTATGAATCTAGACATAGTATCAGAATGTGTCCAATAATCTGAAGAGTATCAAATTCTTAATATTAAGATATATCTTATCTATACAAAGGTTACTATATTTTAATACGTTGATGATATTTATAGTAGTGCTTCTATCTCCATTTCCATGGCGCCTCACGCGTCACTGGACTCGTAAGTCAAGTCACAGCTGGTGTCCTCTTTGCTCTCTGTTAGTGGCTAATTGCTTTCTCTCTCTCCCTACTAATCTCCACTTCTTCAGGGGCAAAGGTGAACACCCTCTCCTGGTAATTTTGCTGATGATTTTCTCTCTCTCTCTCTAGGTTTGCTTCTTGGGATTGGGGAGAGAAAGGCTTTAATCTCTAATTAATTAACTGTTAAAAAGTTGTGTTTGGGTTGGAGGTGGATGAGAGAGGGAGAGGGAGGCACCAGATTCTAGGAGTGAGACTGTAGAGTGTGATTAGTGGAAGTGAGGCTGCTACTGTTGCTAATCAGGAGAGAGGAGAGAGAAAAGAGTGTGTGTGGGTGGGGGCTGACTGGTGGGGCCCACAGGGAAGACCGGTGCCGGCCCTATGTTAGCTACTTTAGGATAGTGGTTGGAGCGGTAATAATTAATGAAATGGAAAATCTGGATGGGAGACTGGGAGTTGGGATGATGGATGGTGGGTCCCACATGCCAACCCTTTTCTGTCTGTTTTATTTTTCCTGCTCTGCAGGTGGGGCCGCCCTTTGCTTACGTGGACTGTCAACCAGACTAGCTGGCGCCGCATGGAGGAGACATGTGTTCCAACTTTCTTTGTTCAACTGCCTTAACAAAACAAAGTGTTCCCACTGTACTAAAATATAATATAATTAAAATTTTATGTCATAGTTTAAATATTTCTTTTATTCTTTTATCTCAACTAAAAACAGCCTCATGTTATTAAATTTTTTCACTATTTTTTCCATCTCAACCAATCACAATTATTTTTCATCTTATAATTTATATTATAACTTTCGGAAAAACTTATATTTTCAAACAGATCCAAATTTTAATGTATAAACTTTGGCTTATGATATGGAGCTGCCTAATTAATTGCAGCCCTTCTTGTGATGAAAAATGTGAGCTCGAATGCAGATGGATCGATCGATGGGTTGCCTCGTGTGTAAGTAAGCGGCGCATCTGAAAGCATGAATATCTACTCGCTGTTGCGTGGTAGTACCTGTGCTGATCATCATAAGGCTGATAATGCACGTGTTTGCCACGTTGCCCATGCCTAACTTTATTTTTCGCAGCCACGTAAAACTGTAAAAGCAATCTCACTTCGTTGTCTTGAAGCAAAGTGAACAACTCGGGTAAATGGCGAGTCATGGCCGGTGGTTGAAGAAATTAATTCCTGGTTCATTACCAATTTTAAATTACTTTTCTTACAGCGAGTAAATATTGCAAAATTTTATTAGTAGTGTACGAGTAACTGTTACGGGCGGCTGCAGGCTCTGCAGCTGATTCGTTTGATCGAGCAGGGCAATGCAATGGCATATGATCACGTATTCACGTGCAGGGGGCGATTTGGTCGGCCGGGCCCTTTGTCCTGTTCAGTACTAACAAGGGTTTTTTATGACCATGATCGGTGTGATGGCTCTGCCTTAACTACCATTCATTCGTTAGTTAGCTAGCTGCACGCACGCACGCACGTACGCGGTGGCGGAGGTGGCGGAGCGCTGTTGAGCCCGAACCATAGTGGAAAAACCCGAACCTGACCGAAGGTTCAACCGGACAAAACCGAGCCAGAGGTCTACACGGTACGGTTAAGCTGAATGACCGGACATGTATTCAACTCGGATTGAACCGGCTGAACCGGCCGAGTTTTGAATAAACCTAGCATTAAACCGTCTTGGTCGGACCGGACAAAGGAGATAATGGGCTATATCAAGGCCCAGTCCAGGCCCACGTGACTATTTCGTCTGTACAAAAATAACATAAATAATGCTTGTGGCGCGGGGACTCAAACCTGGGTCTTTGCACTAGAAGCACTTGGCTCTAGCTATCCTACACTTTTTCACTTGTGTAATAGAGGAAATACATATTGCATATATTAGTTATTGAACTGTGGTTCAGCCAACGGTTCCTCGGTCAGACCGTCGGACCGGTGAACCGAGGGGTCGTCCTTGTCACTCATCGGTCCAGTTTTTTCCACTAGGACCCAAACCATGATTAATAGTGTTTTTTTTATACACCGGTGTTTTCATGATCGCCCAATTTGCTCGGGAGCTGTCTCCGGCGTTATGCGTACGCCAATATGCCATATACACAAAAGAAGTTCCTCTGATGTGAACTTTTCAGTGACGTGGTCGATGACATGTGTGGGTATCAAAGTAAAGCACATGTTAACGACAATATTACGTTGGAAGGTTTCACTCCCATGTACACATGCTTCTGCACAGAACTACAGAAGTACTAGTAGCGTAGTACTAGTACCTGCTGCCATGCTCCCAAAAATCAAAATCTGTACAAAACACAGCAATACGTACTACCTAAGCTGGCAATTTGAGAATGGATGTAGTTCCGTTGTGCTGCATTTTCCCTTTTTTTTTCCCCGTTACAACATGGTAACTACTTATGCGCATTACACAAGTATTAGCTACAGGTACGTACATGCATGGCTGTCAGATTACCATTACGTACAACTAACATATACAAACCATGTTAATCCTGTCATCTAGTAAGTTACATACTTTCCTTTTTTCAGGAAAAATCTAGCTACGCTTACCGTCTGCACCTAACTAACACCCTTGCGTGTTCAGGGGATCTCGTGTAATCGAGGTGATTTTCTTTTCTTGATGCCGCTGGAGGGGAACGCCAGAAACGAACATGTGGTTTTCGAGGAAGGAAGTAGCGGGGCTTGGCCGGATCCGGCTTTAATTTGGTGATACATAAGGCAATTCACATCCCTCCATATCATATAGTGTCCATAGTATTAAATACATTATCACATAAGTAAAAATCTGATGTGGCAAAAGAGTTAATGAGGAGAGAGATAAAAGATGAAGAAACCGTCTCTACACGAGAACCAAGAAGAATGAAACAAGAGAATAGGTCGATAAAGGAGAGAGAAGGGAGATGATTGGATGAGAATTTAATTTGAAGACACCATCCATTAGATATATAGTTTCTATGTATAGTGTCTATATGACATGACAAGTATGGAAACTATTTAATAGTTTCTAGGTTGAGGATGGCCGAAGTATGTGCTCTTTATGCCCATTGAAGTTACTATCGAGCCACTGTGAGAGAGAGCCTCCACCCTACCCATTGCTACCATCAGTCTCTTTAAATGGTGGGACAACGTTGTGCTGTTGGCACGGGCGTCTTGTCCCTCTTCCCGTTGCTAGTCACCTCCATCATTGTCGCTACCGCCACTCGATGCTGAGGTCAAGCTCAAATCGCCATAGATCTAGGGTCAATGGAGTATTGACATTGGTGACGCATGTGAACGGTGTAATGGACATTCTCTTTTCTGATATTGCCTTATGTGGAGTCTTCGAATGAAAACCAGTCCGGATGATTGAAATAGCAACCGTGACACCGATCCTATATGTTGTGGCCTTCTTAAAAGCGCTTCATTGGAGGTTTCATGTTGATATGGCATTGTTAGTGACCGCATTTTCATTGAATCGGCTTTGATGGATATGGTGGTCGCAAGATATGGGTGAATGATTGTTTACAGCTAAGTTTTTATTCGGTTTATCTTTTCGCTTTGGTTCGACATTAGTTGCTGGCAGTGATGTGTGCTTGATTCGATCGACCGCTGATTTCGGAGATTCTATTTTTGGTTTAAGGAATATAGTGATTACATCTAACATGTAAGGCATTGTGAAGAAACAATGGATATGCAGACTCTCACTAACCATAGATGAAAAATCTTTCTTTTGAGTGGTATTTTAAGTAGTTTTAAATCAACTTATGATTTTATAATCCATAACATTTGTATTGTAATATTTATAATATCTGGTTATAGCTTTTATAAAGTAAAAGCCAGAATAAATTCTACTTCCTCTGTCCCAAATGATAAGGCATATATTTTTCTTACACTGTCTTCAATGACATGCTTTGACCAGCATTTTATTTCATGCTACTCCCTCCGGGTTGATAATACTTGTCGTTTGGACAAGTGTGAGGTCAAACTTTAGAATATTTGATTATGAATCATTTTTAAAATATTTGTGTTTCAAATATGGTGACTACATGTATAGATTAGTCTTAAAAGTACTTTAATAAAATCATATATTTGTTAACAATTTTATACATATTATAATGAAAAATAATGATCAAAATTATTTTTTGGAGACCGTGCTCTTGTCCAAAATGACAAGTATTATCAACCTGGAGAGAGTATGTTTCCAACAAATATGAAATTAGCATCACAAGAAAGTATTTCAAAATATAAATCTAGTGATATAACACTTAGTATAGATATACTCAGTATGATTATTAGTAAGTTATTGAGATTGATTTTTGTTAAAATGGGGGCGCCCTATAATTTAGGACGAAGTGAGTATTATACTGTTGGGATAAAAAAACATATCATATTAGCCGGTTCATGCGTACGTCGTTGAGTGTGATTAAGGTGAAATTAATTAACTGCGTGCCGGGGAGGAGGGAAATTAATAATCTCGTGAAGAAGAAAGTGGGTGGGAGATTTGGCCGCTCTTCGGTGACAGATGACAAATAAAGCAGGCGTTAAGGATAGAGATGCGTCACCAACTCGATCATCCAGTACACTGTACACTAGTATATGCACGGTTGTATATATATCGATCAGAGCCTCACGGAATTTGGGGCTATTTATCACTAGTCGATACCTGCAATGGTAGTTGCATATA